GAAAAAGTGGGAAAGAGCGAGGGAAGGAGCGCATGGCAAAATACGGAAATTCACTCAAATGATCAGAGGAAGCGTTTCTCTCACTCTATTCGCTCGATTGTGTGATGAAAGAAATGCAGAAAAAAAACTTTCCTCAGTCTTTATGAGTGAACTTCTCACATTTCACCACAGAAAGGAGAGAAAAGGAGGAGGAACACAGGAGCCGGGACAGAGAGAGGAGGGAGGGAGGAGAGAAGGAGGAGAGAGTGAGAGAATGCTAATGAGGCTCTCAGGGGAGAGACTGAGGAGAAGGGACGGAAACTCGAGGAGAGGGCCACTCGAATACACTCCAAAGGGCCACACCACAGAAAACGGACTTTTTTTGTCTTTTTTTAAAAAATAAAAGTTTGGTGTGAACAGTGTTAAGTTTCAGCCTGCCCACTCACCTTATAAGGACTATTTCAGCCCAGACTGCTTGTTGAATGAGGCAGCCAATCAGAACAGAGCTCATTTACATACACAGTTTTAAAGGCACAGTAACAAAACCAGCCTGTTTAATACTGAGAGATAAAGAGAATGGACTGGAAAACAGTGTGAAAATTATTATAATTATGAATTTGGAACATTAAATCACACAAAACAAAGAAAATAAAAGAAATGAAAAGAAATGACAAGAACAGAAAAGAAAACAACAGAAAAGAACAGCAGAAAAGAACAGAAAAGAAAAAAGAGACCTTTAAAAAAAGAAATAAGAGGGAGTGGAGGCAGAAGAGTGAGTAAGACAGAAGAGAGAAAGAAAGAAAAAGAGAGGAAATGAGGCAGAAAAAAGAAAGAGAGAGAGAGAGAGCAAGGGAGAGGAAAGAGAGACAAGAGAGAGAGAGAGAGAGAGAGAGAGAGAGAGAGAGAGTAATAGTTGATATGTGAAAGGGCTGAATAGACATTGGCTAATCCCCATCTGACCTAGTCAGCCCACTTACTCTGTGTGTTTGTGTGTGTGTGTGTATATGTGTGTGTGTATGTGTGTGTGTGTGTGTGTGTGTGTATGTGTGTGTGTGTATGTGTGTGTGTGTGTGTGTGTGTGTGTGTGTGTGTATGCGTGTGTATGTGTGTGTGTGTGTGTGTATGTGTGTGTGTGTGTATGTGTGTATGTGTGTGTGTGTATGTGTGTGTGTGTGTGTGTATGTGTGTGTGTGTGTGTGTGTGTGTGTGTGTGTGTATGTGTGTGTGTGTATGTGTGTGTGTGTGTGTGTATGTGTGTGTGTGTGTGTGTGTATGTATGTGTGTGTGTGTGTGTGTTTATGCGTGAGAATTGAGCACCGGTGAAGTTGGCCTGTCTGTGTGGGAACTGGCTCAGCCACGTTTCAGAACAAAGCACAACAAACTGGACGCGTCCAAACTAATCCAGTTCATAACCAGCACTTTATCAGACTGGCTGACTAAACGTCCTCACAGTTATCGGACAGCATGACATTTGTGCTCATGCAATAAAGCTTTGGGCTCTCCGGTGGGCCCTGACCATTTAAGGGGGTTAAGCCTAGGGTTAGGTTTAGGTGTAGGTTAGTATTTCTTGACTATAGTAATACAAAAACCAATAGAAACCCATGGAAGCGCTCCCGAATGGCACAACCGTCTAAGCCGGGGGTCGGCAACATGCGGCTCCACTAGATCTAACATAGTTTTTACAATAAACACTGGAGTTAATGTAGAACTGCTAATTCACCCCTTAAGCCTGAAGTTCGGCGCACAGACTGCTGGTCACCATAGCAACATATACAACAGTCTTACCTAGCTAGTAGCTAACGAAACAGACTTATTTGCATTTATAATCACTCCAGCTGGTTTCCAGATACGTTTAATCTACAACGATAAACTGTGAAACACTAAAAAGTCATGAGGCTGAAGTCGCTTCTCCTTCACCAGCTTCTATTTCGTCTTTTGCCGTTCCACCTTAAACGGTGCCGCAGTTACATTCTGGCACCTCAGGCACCATTTAAGGTGGAACAGGAAAATTTGAACAAGAAGCTGGCGAATGAGAAGCGACTTCAGCCTCGTAAAAAGTTTCATGTTGAGAGACATTTTACAAGAAACCGTCTTACTTTTGAGGAAAAGTCTCCTGCTGGAGATGCGAGAAAAGTGGCAGTAGTTGAGCTAAAGCTTTAAGCCAGAGCTTTAAGAGCAAAGTAAGTCTGCATTTCTCTTTACGTTATATTTTTAGCCTATACTAGAACATCAGCACATACCGAGACATGTTTACAGCCAAGATGATTAGATGGACATGAAACATTGTGGCTCCCAAGGTGGTTTGATTTTTGTTGTAAGGACAAAATGGCTCTTCTTAACCTGTGGGTTGCCAACCCCCGGTCTAAGTGTTGATCCTGTCATCAAGATTTTGATCCCTGGTGATGCTACAGCCATCCTTGGCCGGGAGTCCAAGACAGCACAGTTGTCCTCGCTCTCTCTGGGTGGGCAGGATGGCCCCCCATCCGCCTCCCATCACTCAGTGTGATGCTAGCCAGTGCAGGTTTCTGTTAGCTGACGTAACAGATCTGGTGATTAGTGTTCTCCTCCGAGCGTGTTCAGCTGTCCAATGATGTTGCATTAGGTGCAGTTTGAAAAGATACGGTGGAACTTCACAGGTCTCGGAGGAAGGCTGCGTTTGCCTTCCCACCTCCTGGCGCTGGGGGTATCGTGTGACCCGTATCCGTGGGTGGAACTGGATACAACTAAATTGGGGAGAAAATTTGGAAAAAAATTCATAGAAACCTATGGAAGTCCTCAAAAGGAATGTAAGACAAACGTGTGTGTGTCCTCATACATGTATGTGTCTCTATTAGGGATGTAACAATATAACACAATGTACTGGTGTAACATACTGTGTTGTATTCACAGTGGTCTCATTACGAACCCCTGCTGCCATTTTGTGGACAAACTGGAACTGGATGAAGCCCAAGCAAAATAGGCCAGAATGACCGCAAAAAGACAAAAAGATGTGGACGCTTTAGGTACAGTCTACAGATAGTGCTGCGAGGAGAAGGTTAGCTGGATTGGTGGACTGGATCTGTATAACTTACAAATGCCACTATGTGGGATTTTACAAACACTAATAAAGGCGGCTGCTAAAACTGCTTATATCTCTCACATAATAAACAAATACGTACATATATATGAAGTTGAAGTTAGCCTGTTACTCGCCAGCTTCATATTCAAATTTTCCATTCCACCTTAAATGATGTTGCAATTACATTGAGGTGCCTTAAACATTGACTTTGAATTTCTGGCAAATAAGGTGCCAGCTTAAGCTTACTTCAATAAATACATTATTTTTCTTTAACCCCTTAAAATTCCAGGTTTATTATGTACTAACACTGCAAAAAATGGTATCTTGTCGAGTAAAATGATCTAAAATCTAGTCAATAAATCTATGTTTCTCCTGCTGAGATTGTTATAAGCTTGATTTAAGATTGTTTAACTAATTTTCAAGTATGTCTAAATGAAAATGTATGGTATTTCTTGATTAAGGATGCATTTATTAACCCCTTAAATAGCCAGGCCCCACTGGTGAGCCCAAAGTTTTATTATACACTTCTATGACCAAAAAATAGCTCAGCCAGTTTGATTGAGGTCCCTGTAGTTACTGAATAATAAGTCTTCACTGCAGAAAACGGTATCTTGTCAATGAAAATGATCTTAATTCTAGTTGATCTATCTAATATGTCCCATTTTGAGATGGATGTACTTATTTTAAGATTATTTAACATATTCCTAGACATTTTTATTGTTTTAAGTCATTTTATGAAGTAAAATTATCTCACTATGTTGCTTGTTTTAAGAAATGTGCTTGAAAGCAGTAGAATTATCTGCCTGTATAGTGAAATAATTTTACTTAATAATTAAAACAAGTAAAAACGTGAACATAACATGACATAAGGATGTTTTCAGGCACTGTTTATTTCTGCTGTGTAGAAAAACTAAGACCTGTCTGTTACATCGCTGGTCTTTATGTGTGTGTATTATTCCATGTGTTTAATTTAGTGTAATTGAGTGTGTGTGTGTGTGTGTGTGCGTGTGTGTGTGTGTGTGTGTGTTCTCTCTGTAGACAGGCTCTTCTATATCTACACCTCAGGCACCACAGGTTTGCCCAAAGCTGCCATTGTAGTCCACAGCAGGTCAGTGCTACTGGAGGCTCTTAGCACCTCACAACACAGCTGTACATATCTTTCTCTCTTGCTCCCTCTATTCTCTCTCGCTCTATTTTTTCCTAAATCTCAGGCCACAATGTCCCTGTTCAGAGGTCCACAGCACAAAAATAATCTGAACCTTATAGCCTTACATATAAATGTTACAACTTTAAAATGATGTTATTCTAATTTAGTACATTATATTATTTTTGCTACCCATGTGATATTATGTAATAATGTTTTTATTCTCTCATTTTCAGGTTTTACCGTATTGCTGCGTTTGGGTACTACTCCTTCAAACTGCGCCCCGACGACATCATGTACACCTGTCTGCCTCTCTATCACTCAGCAGGTGTGTGTGCATCCACTCACTGGCCACTTTATTAGAAACACCTACTTTATGCTTAAATTCACTGGCCACTTTATTAGAAACGCCTACCTTGTACTTCTACACACTGGCCACTTTATTAGAAACGCCTACCTTGTACTTCTATTCACTGGCCACTTTATTAGAAACACCTGCCCTGTGCTTCCACTCAGTGGCCACTTTATTAGAAACACCTACCTTGTGCATCCACTCACTGGCCACTTTATTAGAAACACCTACCTTGTACTTCTATTCACTGGCCACTTTATTAGAAACGCCTACCTTGTACTTCTACACACTGGCCACTTTATTAGAAACGCCTACCTTGTACTTCTATTCACTGGCCACTTTATAAGAAAAAACCTGCCCTGTGCTTCCACGCAGTGGCCACTTTATTAGAAACACCTACCTTGTGCATCCACTCACTGGCCACTTTATTAGAAACGCCTACCTTGTACTTCTACACACTGGCCACTTTATTAGAAACACCTGCCCGTGGCCACTTTATTAGAAATACCGACCTTGTACTTCTACACCCTGGCCACTTTATTAGAAACGCCTACCTTGTACTTCTACACACTGGCCACTTTATTAGAAACACCTACCTTGTGTTTAAATTCATTGGCCACTCTATTAGAAACACCTGCCCTGGGTTTCCACTCAGTGGCCACTTTATTAGAAACACCGACGTTATGCTTCCACTCACTGGCCACTTAATTAGAAACAGTACTGAGCTCCAACCACCTTATAGGTCAATGTACAATTACTGACTGTACTCCATGTGTTGCCTCACAGTTTATCAGCCTGTTGTTCAGATATTATTTGGTTAAGAGTCAGTTCTCGACACAGCAGTAACACTGACATGGTAGTGTGTGTGGTGCTGGTACGAGTGTATCAGACATAGTGGTGTTCCTGGTGTTTTCAGACACATCAGTGCTACCTCTAAGTTGAAAGTGGTCCACCACCCAAAAATATCTTGTCAAGAGCAGCTCTGAGGTCAAAGACTGAGGACTAGAGGATGGCTAACATAAACAGTTGGTAGAGCTGGTACAGTTGCTCTTCAAGCAAGAGACTGAGGCTTGATTACCCGGCCAGGCACATCACACACATCATACGGGTCCTCAGACAAGACTCATCACATTCTCCCACATATTCAACATGACTAAATGTATTATATGCGTAAATGTAAAAGTAAACTGCGCACTAATAGATGAGCCACAGTCTTCGAGGTGAAGTTATAAGAGAGGTGTTTCCAATAAAGTGGACGGTGTGTTTGTGTACATATGATGTAACGGCAGGAGTTTTGGAATAATTAATGTAGTGATTATGGTCACATGCATCATAGCACTAGTCGCAAAGAGACTGAAACGTCCACATTGTCCACAGAACAGTGTTTAACAAAATCCAGAAGTAAGTGGATTACACAAAGCTTTTGAAGTGTAATCGTTTTGGCAGTAGCTTTTTGTTTTGCTAGTTTTGCCAGTTTTACCCAAAAATGACCAAATGTGCTCCACACAGGTCACAGTAGTAGATTCTTCAGAGAACCTTGACATTTTAAAGTTAATTTAGTTGTATTAGAATTTAACAACTATAACACTTGCTGTAATACAATTTAGAGCAGAGTGAGTAATTACAAATAAAAATAATGTAAAATTTAGAGGTATTTTTCAGAAATATCAGCAAACCTGTAAATATCAGATATCAGTGTCCAGTGACTGAGTATTTAAATTTGCAAAGTGAGCTAAAACAGCTTATTAGAAGAAGCTTTTTAAATGCTTTAGTTCAACTTTGTGTTTTATTTATTTATTTATTTGTTTTTAATGGACAAACAGGCCGAGACTCCACACCCATGTTTTGTCCATGTGGTGTTGCCCACAAATCTGTGATCAGCCTATTAGCTGTGTCTTTGTCCTGTGTCTCCTAGGCAACATCATGGGGGTGGGTCAGTGTCTGGTTCACGGCCTGACGGTGGTGATCAGGAGGAAGTTCTCCGCCAGCCGGTTCTGGGACGACTGCGTCCGATACAACTGCACTGTAAGTGGCGTTTATGATGCACTGCTGATGTACATCACAAACCCCACATTATCACTTTATCACTCTATCGCTTATACCTCTTACATCACACTGCTGTGTTTTTACTGTATTTTTAATAAAATTTATGCACTCAAAGTTTTGATCGACTGATATGTGTTATCATCTTCTTTCCCTTAGACAGAAAACCTGCACTAAAATACTCCACTCTTAAATATTGAGCTCTCTAGCTACCTATTAAATTTTGATTTTATATATATATATATATTTATATATATATATAATATATATATATATATATTGTGTTAAAACTTTATGATGACCAGACCAATAGAAATTTGAAAAAATGGCCAAAACATTTTTGACTTTCAAATATTTTTTTCTTGTCCTGTAAATATACATAATATTCTGGTTTTTAGAACATAAATGTATTATTTACTCACCTCCACTCTGCACCATGTGTACAGGTGGTCCAGTACATCGGTGAAATCTGCCGTTACCTCTTATCCCAACCGGTGCGCCCTTCTGAGTCGAGCCACTGCATTCGGGTTGCCATGGGAAACGGGCTCCGCCCCAATGTGTGGGAGGCGTTCACCAAACGCTTCAATATAAGACAGATCGGAGAGTTTTATGGAGCTACAGAGTGTAACTGCAGCATCGCCAACCTGGACGGCAAGGTGTGTGTGTGTGTGTGTGTGTGTGTGTGTGTGTTCTTGTAGTGCTTGTGAGGACCCTATGTTCTCTATGATAGGACTATATGAAATTTTTGCTCAAGTGAGGACCAGCAAAATTGTGTTGTTTTCACCACAGTTACTTTTTTTATTTGAAAACTAAAAGAGCAGAAAATCTGTCTTTTGGATACTGAGGTTAAGGTTAGGGTTAGGTTTAGGTTTAGGTGTAGTATTATTTAGCTACAGTAACACAAAAATCAATAGAAACCTATGGACGTCCTCATATGTATAGCAAGACAAACGTGTGTGTGTGTGTATGTGTGTGGGGGATGCTGAGTCAGTTCTAGCCTAGTTAATTGTAGTTTAGTTCAATTTAAAAGTTCAAAATGAATTTAATTCACCTTAGAAGTTGAATTCATCTGTGGTTATGAACTGGTGTATGATTTCAAAAGTAAATAATTATTCATGCAAGAGTTTGTCTTTAATAACCTACTTTCCAAGCTGACATTGACCTATTAAAATCCATTTGGAGGTGGATAGATGAACATTTTGAAATAGGGGTGAGTGATGTGGAAAAGTATGAGATAATTGAAGAGATATTTTCATGAAGTATGATATTTAGTTTTTCTGAGGATTGAAAAACAGAAAAAAGCACCAGTTGTGCTGCATTTCATGAAATACTATCAAAAACTATGAATACAATGATTTTTGTTCAATGTTTTTTTCATTGTTTCACACACTGCACTAAATCCAATTCTGCTCTCTGTGTGATGAAAACCTGCTATTGGTCAGTTTTCTTTAACCACTGACAGTGGTTATGACATGCCCAGAAAAGTGTATTGTAATGTAATTTATTATAATATTGATAAATATTGTGATGTTGCCCACATTTGTTTGAAAAATGTTAGGACACATAAATACCCTTGTAGCTCTTGCAGCAATGTGTCACTCTTTACTGAGATTAAAGCCTCGTTTTTAAAGAACTTTTTTCTTTCCTTTGTCCAGATGGGGGCGTGTGGCTTTAACAGCGTGATCCTGCCTAATGTTTACCCCATCAGACTGCTGAAGGTGGATGAAGAGACCATGGAGCTCATCCGAGACAGCAGGGGGCTCTGTATGCCGTGTAAACCAGGTGAGGAACATACACACAATCATACACACGCCCATAGTTATAGGTGGGGGCTGTGGGGGCCAAGGCCACTTTGCTTGGAAGCAAAGCCCCCTGATTCCTGTAAAAAAGGAAAAATTCTCAGATACCAAGGAAAATAGTGCAGACTGAGCTCTTGTGCTCCTTAGATCATTGCAATTTTCACCAGACGATCTTACCAGCTATGCAAAAAGGCAACATTTGAAGACAGTATTATCTTGCCCACTGTTTCTCCTGAGAACATAGCTGAGCTGTGCTAGTTCATTTAGACCAGTGGTCACCTTCCCCTAGAGATCTGCCTTCCTTAAGGCTTCACCACCAATCCAAATCTAGAACACCTTGCTTAGCTTATTACGGCCTTCTGGAACCAATAATTAGATTGTTCCAGTGGGGCTGATTAGGGTTGGAGCTGAAGTCTGCAGAAAGGTAGATCTCCAGGAGCACTGAGTTAGACTGCTCATGTCACTCTTAAAAAAGATGGTGCTTCAAGGGTTCTTCAGTAAAGAAAATGGTTCTATATAGAACCAGGAAGACTCCAAGACCTCTTTGCATGATTAAAGGGTTCTTTGCATCATGAAAGGATTCCTCCAACTATAATATACGTGTCCTCTAGGTGAACCAGGGGTATTGGTTGGACGGATCAACCAGCAGGACCCCCTGAGGAGGTTTGATGGCTATGCTAATCAAGAAGCTACGAATAAAAAGATTGTGCACAATGTATTCAAGAAGGGTGACTCCGCCTACCTGTCAGGTACCAGCCCACATCTTTTCACCTTCACTTTTAGCACCATGCCATTCTTAAGTTTCCACTTCTTTTGCTAAGTTTTGTTTGCCTGGGTTTTTGTTTTTGTCAGTGCAGACCTACGCCATCTGCTGGTTGCTTTCAAAACATTTCGAATCCCCAATCATTTCACATATGGGGAAATTTTTGATAACAGATTGAAAAGTGCTGTAAGATTTTTAAGGTGATTAAGATTTGATGTAAGATTTTGAAAGTAATCAAGAAATTCAGTGAGACTTTCAAAATCCTACTTTGAGGCTTAATCAAGCAAGTTGTCTCTTGTCTGTAGTTTGCTTCTTTAGTTTTGTACTGAAGCTACAAGGCTATTGTAGCTAACCAGTAATGAAACCCCACCAGTAAATTTCAAGTAATTATACTCCAATTAGCACTGTGCCTACCTAATACCTAAATACCTAATACCTAAATCATTAAAACGTGCCTCAAAGTGAGTGCAGGTTTTCAGTAATCTCTCATAGACTTGTTTATGTGGTTTCTGACACTTTATAACATACTGACTGCATGAGGTTGCCATCCTTTACAAAAATGAAGGAAAACTGACTTTTGTCTAATCTGTTCTCGTAATAGTTGCTCAGTGTACCACGTTGTCCCTGTCGGCTTCTCAGGTGATTTGATGGTGATGGACGAACTGGGCTACATGTATTTCCGAGACCGCAGTGGGGACACGTTCCGCTGGCGAGGCGAAAACGTTTCTACCACAGAAGTGGAAGGAGTTTTGAGCTCTTTACTGAACCAGACAGACGTAGCAGTGTATGGAGTCTCTGTTCCAGGTCAGTGCAGGTCTTACAGCTGTCTGTAGGGCAGCAGAGCTGTTTCTAGAACACTCCACACACAAGTGTGTGTGTGTGCTCCGTTATAAGTACTCTGGCATAATGTGGCTGCCGCTTTCCATTGTTTTTTCATTTGTTTTGTTTTGTTTATGTGTATGTTTTGTTGTTTCCCTGCTGGCTGAGGAGTTTGCCATCATATCCACTGAGACAGCAGCCAAGAATGATTTTCCACCCATGGCTCAGAGGCTTCTTGGGCTGGCTGTTTGGGTGTCGGTATGTCACAGCAGCCTGGACCAGCCACTTGAGTGACGCTGTATTACAGCTACATGGCTGTCTGGGCTGGCTGCATGGACGACGCTGCACTGTAGCTGTGGGGCTGCCTGGAGCGGTAGTGCTCAGCAGCATGAACAGCGCTATGCTCCAGCTATGAAGCCTCTTGGGCCAGCTGCTTAAGCAAAATTGCAGCTATTTAGCGGCTGCTTGGGTGACACTGCATTCCAGCTATAAGGCTGCTAGGGCCTGCTGTTTGGGTGACACTGGATTGCAGCTATATTCGTGGCTAAGGACATTTTTGGCCTTCGAGGCTTCCTGGGATGGCCACCTGTGTGATGCACCATAGTTGCGAAGGAAGACTTGCCCCCGTGGCTAAGGACTCTTTCTGGGCTAACTAAGTGGCTCTATACCGTGGTCATACCCTCCCCACTAGCTGTGGAAACCGTGGAGTTGTGTTTGTGTGTGTGTTTTATCCATTGTTGATTACGTATCTTGTTACTTTCTGATAGTAAAGCACCTTTAAGCGTTGGAAAGGCGCTATATAAAATATGAATAAGGCGCTATATAAATAAAAGTGGTGATGATGATGATGATGATGATGATGACAGGATGATAGAAATGAAATACATCTTCATATTAAAATCAATGGTAGGGTAACTACCATTTGGAGGAAGAAGCTGTCCAGGGTGAAATGAAGATATAAATATATTTCCTCTCCTGATTATATGATGGAGCCAAATCTAATGTCAGCACATTTACTGAATGACTGTAGTGTAGTTCAATCTGAGATCACTGCACTGTCAGGACTTGTTCTTCCGGAAAGTTTTTGAGGGTCTGTTGATGTAATGATCTAATCATTGGATAAGAGTGATCTATGAATGTTTTAGGGTGAACAAGAAAGTTTTCTTTTTTCTTAAATCTTTTGAAGCTGAAAAAAAAGAAACCTTTGTTTTTGTCATTTACATACATCGATCTGTTCAGCAGTTTAGCTGGACCCATTCATTCTAAAGTTTTCTGAATGGCTGCTTTTTGAATGAGGCACGATACAGAGCAGCCAATCAAGACAGAGATCATTTACATATATCAGTTTTAAAAGTAAAGTGACACAGTTTATTACTATGTGATAAAGAGAGGTTGGGAAATGGTCACGTAAAAATAAACGTGGACTGTTTTGCTGCAGGTGGTTCAGTGGGTAGTGCTGTTGCCTCACAGTAAGAAGGGTCTGGGTTCAGTTCCCCGGCCGGGTGATCAGGGTCCTCTCTAAAGTTTCCATGTTCTCCCTGTGTCTGCGTAGATTTCCTCCCACAGTCCAAAGACATGCACTCAGGCCAACTGGAGAGGCTAAATTGCCCCTAGCTGTGAGTGTTAATGTCTGTGTGTCTGTCCTGCGATGGACTGTCCTGTCCAGGGTGTTTCCTGCCTTCCGCCCACTGAGCGCTGGGATAGGCTCCAGCACCCCCAGACGAATAAGTGGATTAGATGACGAATGAATGAATGTTTTTGGTGCATAAAAACACACAAATGTGGGCCAAAAGTGAACCTCAGGACAAAAAGTGCACATGTTGAATATGAGAACGATACATTGTGCAGTCTTAGTGAATGGTAAGGTGCCCTAGCTGAGGTCTTTGACTTTGTAAGGCATGTCAAGATTTGCAGTTATTCTCTCTTTCTAACTTTTTCTTCTCTTTCTCTTTCTTCCTTTTCTCCAGGTGTGGAGGGCAAGGCAGGTATGGCTGCCATCGCTGACAGCACAGGCAGCTTTGACTGTAAAACATTCTTGCAGGAGGTGCAGAAGTCCCTCCCCTCGTATGCCTGCCCTGTCTTCTTACGCCTTTCACCAGAAGTGGACACAACAGGTCAGAGAGAGAGCGAGAGATCATTCTATTGGTTCTGTCAGTTTTCCATTTAACACTACTGTAATGTTTACTATGTTGCATCACACTGCAGTATTTGCTTTCCTCAACTCAGACAACAGCTGACATGTTACACCTCCACACATCTCTTACTACGTCACTCATGTATAGGCATATAGCTCTGGTCGTCTTTACTGACGTGTGGTGTTTCTATTATCTTGCCCTGCACTTTATTAGTTAACACTGTTGCTGGTTATTGTGGACAAACACACATAGGTACCAACTCCAAATTGTTGTGTAGCAGTTAAGAACCTTGAATCTTGAATCTTCATAACTTTCTACAAACTTCCGGTTTTAGCTACTTTGTTCTTGCTCTGTGGATATTTCAATACGAAATGTAAAGAAAAATCTACTTGTTTTCACACTTCCCTCACAATTAAATGGTAAAACAAAGTTATTCAGTGTGGTTACATGTTTAAAGCTCCATTCTAGAGAAACTTTCAGAGTCAGAACTGTTCACAGTGGTGGTGATAGGAACCAGACGTCCGCCTCTAAAAGCTTCCTCACAGAAAGTTACTACGTAAAATGGTTATGAATTCATTGCCTGATGCCTGAGACACTGTTTTATGATAGTTTTTGAAAAAAATATTATGGTCTATAATTTGTATTCATGGGGGCGAGTTACATGAAAGGCACCGGAAGAGAAAATCGTCTCCAAAGAAAACATATTTTTTCACATTTATTCCTATGTTACCATGATCAACATTCCATATAAACACTCAGAAGGTTCACTGGTAGTTTTGGATTTCACATCAAACCACTCTGAAGGACTTTGTTTACATCTCAACTACTGAATTATGCAGAATCTTAAAAAAAAAAACATAAGAATTTCCATTCAAGACCTTTTGTATTCTTTGATCTATATTCAGGCCTTTAGTTCATTAATTTTATGTTTTCTTTAGGTCTTTAATTTTACACAAAAAAATCTAGCAAACTACAAGAGTTTTTTAATTTTCTTAGTTCTATTTTCTTAATTTCCATTTATATAAAAAAAGTCTGTTTTATTTTGTTGTGTTTTATTTTATTAAATATGCATTTAATATTTATCATTTTATGTTTCTAATTTTTATCACTGAGTGCATCAGGAGTTAATGAGCCTCCCATGTACCAAAGTTCTTTTCCTTGTCTCATTATTTTATATATATAAAAAATGTTTACAGAAAGGTCCTTACCATCTGTCATCCTCCTCCAGGCACGTTTAAGATCCAGAAGACGCGGCTGCAGAAAGAGGGATTTGACCCCCGGCACTCAAATGACCGGTTCTACTTTCTAAACAGCCGAGCGAGGCGCTATGAGCATCTAACAGAGGAACTATATAACTCAATCCAGGAGGGTAGGGCATCTTTATGAGAATAGACAGTGGTCAGTTGTCAGTAGTGCTGTGTACATTCTGTAATAACAAACCTGCTGTATTTCAGACTCGCTGCGGTCAGAGAGTAGTGTTGTGCAAAACACTCGAGGTAATTAGCAGCGAGTTATTTTTAGATCTAAACTAATGTCTGCCATCGCACACAGACAGTGGAATTAACAAAAGCTCTGTATTCTATAACTGTGGTCTGTGACTTTGGTGCTAACAACATGTGGTTGTCGTCCACAAAAGCTGATCAAATATTAATTTATTAATTATTTTGTGAAATTACATTTTTGTAAAATTCAAGAAAAAATATTGTGTTAAAATGTGAAATAAAAACAAATGTAATTGGAATTGCTATGCGAATGTAACACAGCCTTACCCACCGTGCCTTTGAGGCTCCGCTAGGCCTCCTTTCTACCTGTCTAAGGCCAAGTTTCTAAAGAATGTGCCATTTTATGCCATTTTATACAGGCAAAACAGAGAAGTGCCTAACTAATGCAAACCAGCAAGAGTATAACGATACACATATTTTCAGTTTTGATACGATTTTCAATTCTGACGTCAATGATTCAATTTGATTTTTTTATATTTTATATTTTATCTGTTAAAAAGGTCTCAAATCTACAGAGCTCTAATTCTGTTCTGCACAGATTATTATAGCTCAGATGAATGAAGGTTCTCCAATAGAACTTTATCAGTGCTTGCCGTGCCCCCCTCTAACAAAGTAAACCCCCAAAATCACAACCTCTAGACTTTCTAAGCTCTTCAGAAAAAAAATCAGTCATTTCAGTGAGGGTGTGGCCACATCATAAGCCCCACCCACTTTACTCTTATAGGCTGCAGCCAAATTACTAGTTTAGATCACTGACAGTGGTTTCCGATGGTCAATGAGATGCTCTGAAGAGAACCAGGGATACAGCAATACAGTTTTACTTCAACATACAGTCATTTCATATTCAGTTTTTGGTACTGTATTGAACTTGCAGTAGATAGAAACAAAGGCATCTAGACAAAAATCCAAAAAGAACCTGTGAACGTGCACCAACACTTCTTTTTGTAAGAGACAAGGATTTCAGGAAAGACCTTTGTTTAGAAAATTAGCAGAATAAACAGTCTGGAAAGCTTCACTGCCTCAGAATAAATCACTATTGAGCCTTAACTCCAGAGACGTATTCAGAGCCTCTGTGTCTGCACTGTAGGGTAGACTGCTTTTACAGTCATGATGTTTTGCTTCCTGCCCCTGCTAACTGTGTTTATTTCTCAGCACTGGATAAAAATCTCTTCATTGCAATGATTGATGTCATAGAGAAAACACTTTTGTTTTCCTAATGAACTCCTTTCAGTGGATGATGAGTTTAAAGAACCTTTGCAAAGTTTGAAGAACCTCCACATAGTGTAAAAGTCTAAAGTAGTAGTAAGTTCAATTTATAAAGCGCCTTTTTCAAACCCAAAGACACTTTAGATTGAGAAGTAAAACAACACAATAGGGGCTGCACAGACTAGCTGAATTGTGGACTTTACTGCTCGGCGATGACCCTTTAAGCTGACTAGTTGTTGATCACGTGATTATGACACTAACAACATGGATGCCTCAGAGAAGACAGCAGGTGAGGAGTCTGGTGATTTCTCTGGTTTCCTGAAGGCTAGCTATGCAATCCAGGGCTCGTTGGAAAGGACACGTCATGCTCTATTGACCTGTGAGTTTGGCTTTATTTCTAACATTTCTCAGCCAACCTACAGTGCTTCAAATTTTAGATTTTGAACGTTGTTGTTGTGGGCATAGCGTCCTATTATCCTGTAAAGTTTTAAGACAGTTACTCTTATTTTTGCCGACTTATGGTACTCTAAATTTCTCTGCCACTCCGGACCTCCGCCATGGCTGAGCATCATGGCAAGGACGCCTAGGGTGCGTCTAAGTCAGATACAAATTTGTGAGATTCTGGGGTCCGTATCTCTGGTTCCCTGAAGGCTAATAATGTGATCCAGGACTCGTTGGAAAGGGTAGAGCACGTCATGCTCTACTGACCTGTAGAGTTTGGCTTCATCACCAATTTTTAAAGTTGGATTTTAAAGTCACTTGTTGCGAAGCATTCCCTTCTCCTGTGGTTTTATTCATGACATCATCAGTGACTAGTCAACTCGACTTTCATCGCATAACTGTCGACTTTAAGAAATATGAAGTCGTGCAACCCTACAACACAACACCACAACCCTTAGACTTGGAGGGACACTCTTAAAAAAGATGGTTCTTCAAAAGCTCTTCAGTAAAGAAAATGGTTCTATATAGAACCTTAAACACTCAAAGAACCATTTGCATGATTAAAGGGTTCTTTACACCATGAAATGGTTCTTTAGATGATGGAAAATGTGCATGAATGTGTTATAGACAGTTCTATATAGAACATTTTTGAAAAGGGGTCTATTTAGCACCCAAAAGGGTTCTATTGTTACAAGCTTGACATCATAACAATAGACGAATAGACTTTTGGGTGCTATATGGAACCATTTTCAAAGAGGTTCTATATAGAGCCATCTACAGCACATTCTCCTTCAGTCTGAAGAACCATTTCATGATTTCATCATGCCAAGGGTTCTTTGAGTGTTCATGGTTCTATATAGAACCATTTTCTTTACTGAAGAGCTCTTGAAGAACCATCTTTTTTAAAAGTCTAGAAGAATAGTGAGCAGTACAGAGGAAGGTTTTGAGTTGAGCTTTAAAGAAAGAGAAGGTAGAGGAGTCACCAAGAGATTTTGGGAGAGACTTCCAAAGTTTAGGAGCAGCAGCACTTCCGCTAATTGACGTAAATGTTGTGGTGGGACTCCAAGAAGTCCAGTGCCAGACGATCTGAGGGAGCGAGAGGGACAGTAAGGATGAAGGACCTCACTGAGGTATGAGACCACGAAGGGCGTTGAAAGTTAGTGAGACAAGTTTGTACTTGATACAGTGAGATATCGGTAAGAGATATTGGTAGGAGATATTGATGAAGCTGTTGGAGGACAGGGGTAAAAGTGAGGACTGGCTGTTGAGTTTTGAATGAACTGAAGCCGGTTGGGAAGTTTAACAAGAAGACCTTTAAAAAAGGAGTTTCAGGGAAGCTGAATAGCAATCAAAGATTTTTTTTTTCCTAGAACTGTACGAAAAAAAAAAAAAACAAGAACCAGTTAGAAATCTATGCCTGATTCTATGCCGGATCATGTCTCAGAATGACTAGTAGGTTACTCATATCGGACCACTGCAAACACTTAAAACGTAATGTTGTTAGATAAAACCAAAAATAGGTCATTAGAGCTCTATAACAGCCAAACTATGACGAGACTGAGGTTGATCCCATTGTTACAATACTGTGCTGTGGTTGGTGTCATGTAGTGGGTAACACCTCTGCCTTCTACGCTGTGGACTGGGGTTCAGTCCCCACCTGGGTAAACACCCTACACTATACCAATAAGAGTCCTTGGGCAAGACTCCTAACACTACCTTCGCCTACCTGTGTAAAATGATCAAATTGTAAGTCGCTCTGGATAAGAGCGTCTGCTAAATGCCGTAAATGTAAATGACCACTGCTCTATGAAACAGCTGCATATTCTATATAAGCTCTTTGCTTTGTACTGTGAATGACGGTGTTTGGGTCAATTCCCTTACAGTTTCAGTTCAGCTGACCATATCAAATTCATCTCATAACTGACATTTACTGATGCATTTAATTTATTTGATTTCACCTTTGAAATGAATGTATTTCCTGATTCATCCATGAACTTTGGTAAATTACTCCAGTCCTGATGAATAACTTGAGTAATGATGATGATTCTGTTTAATGTTCAGTTAACCAAGTGCCTTATGGTTATAAAATGCTGGTACCACTGATCAGAACTCTGGTCTAATTTCTCAAATAATTCACTGATAGAACTTTTACACTCTGCTGTAGACACTGTGATGGAAACTGGAATCTTCTATTAGTAATAAACTGGACATAGATGAAGAACAAACTGACCTACTGTGTCTGATTTGTCCTCTTCTTTAGTTTGTTTTAATGTAAATGATGTGAAAGTGAAACTGTGGACAAATAAAAACTCCTGAACACTCAAATCACATTTCTGCTCTTATTTGTCATGTACTGTAAACCAACCTTAATGTATGATAGTGTATGAGAGCTGGTGTCTCATTGAGCATCCTACTGTACGTACACTGTTAGAAATAAAGGTACATTTTTCGTTCATCAAGGTACAAACAATGTAAATGTTCCCTCAGAGGTACAACAGTGGTTTTAAGGTCTGATTGTGAACCTTAAATAAGTTTTTCCAGGTGAAAAGTTCGTATTTGTACCTTTTCATAACCGAATGTTTTAAAACAGAACAGTAAAATAAAAGCCTGGAGACGAGACGGGGTGTGTGGAGTCAGTACAGCTTAGAACATATCATTTCAGTGGATTAGGGTTCAGTTATGTTCCCTGACTAAAGGGACTGAGATGGACCCTTGAGGGTTCCACCCCAGTGACAAGAGGGGTGCTGACCCAGTGACAGTTTACTATTTTTATTTCTGAGAGTGCATACAAATAATGATAATTATGAATGAAATATATAGGCTTCTCTTTAAATTAAAAGTTCATTTTTGCCAGTCATTTTGCATAAAGTGTACTTGGTGGACAGTGTATATTTATTATATTTCAAAAGGCTGTTAATCTGGACAGTATATGTTTATATGTGCAGAAAAACACTAATATTAGAATACATTTGATTAATTTGAATACAGTAAGTAGTGGTTTTACGCATGTCCGCTTAAACATTTCCAAATGTCTCCTCAAGGAAGCCCAGTATTACTTGTAGTTATTATCTAGTATTTGGTTTATCTAATTATTAATTCATTATATTATCCATATGATATCGGTAAGTGTCCAGGAGAAATCTGGAAGTACTTTTTTTTGAAAGTAAGAAAAACTTCATTTATACTTTTATATATATATATATATATATAAAATATATACAGGCAAAAACACACTCACTGCTGAGGTTAATGGTTTTAAACTATTTACTTAAATGCCCAATACAGCATTTTATTACTAAATGAAGTTATGTAATACTGGAGTTTGGGGGAGGAACATGTGTTCCTGTGACAAAGTGTTTACAATCCCCACCACCATCCCATCTCCTCCCTGTTCCTCAGTCCTGCATCAGTCCTACTACAGCTATGAGGGACCTTCTAGCTACAGGCAGGAACTGCCCAGAACTCCAGCCCAAGTTCCCCCCTCCCTCAATTAGTCTCATACTTCCACCGCCATGTTGAAGGCACGGTCTGAAATCACAAATATGTATTATGTAAAGTCAGTTTCTAAAAATACAAATATATGAATGTTAACATGTTTCATTTGTTGTATATTATGGAGACGATGCATATTTTAAACTTTTACAAATAATATACAACAAATGAAACATGTTAACATTCATATATTGGTATGATTAAAGGGTTCTGTCCATAATGAAAGGGTTTTTTTTTAGAATGTGCTGGAGATGATTCTATATAGAACTTGTTTGAAGGACAGTGGGAATCCCCATCCACATCACCTGGGGAGCAGTTGGGGGTTAGGTGTCTTACTCACGGGCACTTCAGTCATGTACTGTCAGCTCAGGGGATCAAACCGGCGACGTTCCAGTCACAAGGCATGTACCCTAACCTCCAGCCCATGACTGCCCCCTTTTGGGTGCCATATAGAACTCCATCAATCTGAAGAACTCTTTCATGATGGAAACACCCCTTCAATCATGCAAAGGGTTCTTTGAGTGTTCATGGTTCTTCATAGAACCAGTTTCTTTACTTAAGAACCCTTGAAGAACTATCTTTTTTAAGAGTGTAACTAGATTAGATAACTCAAAATAATACTTATTTTCAACATGAAGCATAATTTGTATAGCACCTTTTTCAAACGCAGAGTCAATTTACAATAACAGCAGTGTGATACAATTACATGAACACTGCACACATCACAAATAATAGTAGCTGCTGCTAAACAATAACAAAAACATATTTTGAAATAATGGAACACTAAAATAAAATAACATAGAACATTAAAATGTAAGCTATTCTGTATGATTAGACATTTCCTCAGTGACCTTGTAATCTTCCTCCTCCTCCTCCTCACCAGGTAGCTCATGTTTCTCTATGACCACTGAAACACTCTGGGGTAGAAGCACCAGAGGTCGTGTTGGGCAGATGCTCTCGAAGTACGGCAGCAGCGCTTCACTGAAAGTGTGTGAGAATGTGTAGAGGTGGGTTTCACTGTCTGGATCCACGAAACTCACGTGCCCACCCTTCCAGTCTACACACACTCTGATTCGTCGAGGCCTGTGCCCGTTAAGCTCCAGTCGCTCACATGGCGATGTCATTGCGTGATACTCGTCATCCCGTAGGCTGATGGTCCAAAGTCCCTCCTCTGGACACGCCTCATACATCTCTCCTCGCTTGACAGACACTGCGGCCACACCTAGAGTCCAGTTGGAGCTTTCCCCCACCTCCACAACCCAGGAGTATGGCTGCACAATGCCATTGACACGATTAATCATCACAATGTTGGGAAAGGAAAAAGAAAAAAAAATCAAATGAGAAATAGCAAATCATATTGCATGATGTCATCGGTCACTTCACACTGCTTAAAATTTCAGCACCCCCAACTTAAAACACCTTCCCACTTCCCTGGCTGATACTTTACAGATATTTTCCCAAAGCAGGTTCAGATTTTATAGTGTATTCCAGGGGTTGCAACCCAAATGTTAAGAACAGCCATTTTTTTCCTTTCAACAAAAATCAGTCCACCTGGGAGCCACAGGTGGATTGATTATATCCATTTTACCATCTTGGCTGTAAATATATGTAAGTATGTGCCAATGTCCTAGTATAAGCTAAAAAATATAATGTAAACAAAAATGCAGACTTACTTTGCTTTGCTTTAAGCTTCAGCTCAACTATAGTCACTTTTCTTGTATCTCTGGCAGGAAACTTTTCCACAAAAGTAAAACATTTTCTTGTAAAATGGTCGATTTTTATGAGGCTGAAGTCAGCTTCTTATTTGCCAGCTTCTTGTCTGAATTTTCCCGTTACACCTTAAATGGTGGATACAGATGGCTGCATACATATTTTCCATTCCACCTTAAACGGTGGATACCGATGGCTGTGGCATTGCAGGGAACCGAAATCATAAACTCCCAGTGATGGTTGTGCCACTTGGGAACCCAGCACAATCTTGAAAAAGTTCATAGATCTGGTAATCTTAGTTTCCTGCTATCCAAGTCTGAGTGGTGATAACATTCTCTAATAAACTGGAGTTTGTTCATCCCAAACGATACACATTGTTCACATATTAAATTTACCAGATTCCCATGACTGACCACATGCAAAAGTTAAGATTTGGTGGTGTGACAGTTTTCTGGCTTTACGAGTTAACAAGTACTGTTCAAATGCACTGCAATGAGTTTTAAGAGGAACCAAGATTCAAAAGGAGAACCCATCTTCCACTGGGTCTTCTTTGGGACAGTGCAGTGAAGGAATTCGCTTGAAGTGAACCAACAAGTGTAAATCATTTTAGACAAAATAATGCAATGTTCACCAATAAAATTTAAAATAAATCAGAAGGCCTACCACATAAAAATGTATCAGTTTAGCCTTACCCAGGACTGTTGACTGTAGGTGGTGTCCTCTGTCCCCAAGACACAGGCGTAGGGGCTGAAACGCTCAGGGATGCTGGGGAGGGACAGCTGCTGTCTTTCTTTATACTGGACCTGATTGAGATCAGGTGATACAGAGAAGGAGGTAGAGGCAGAGTTTGGGTCCAGAGTTACTGGAACTGGATAGAGAGAAAAAAACAGAGATGAAGAGGGAGGAAAAAAATGAAGCTTGATAGAATGAGAGTTTGGCAGATGTGAAATAAACAACAAACATATTCAAGTACAAAATCTAATTTACACAGTAAACTACACCAAATGTAGTTGATCTATCAAGGCATCTTTGGTGTCAGACGTTGGCTTCTTTAGTTTTACACTGGAGCTATTAAGCTAACGTCGCAGATACCCCCCACCAATTGGCAGACCCCTAACCATCAAACCCTTGCCTCAAATCACCAAGTAATGTCAAATATATCATGAGCTTTCACTGAATGACAGACTGTAATCTATAAAAATGGGCAAAACTAATGCCCAACTATTGCTTTAATTCACATACATACACACACACTCACAGTAGGGAGCTGTCTCCAGCATCTTCTCCCAGACTTTGAATCTCAGGTTTCCCACATGTTTAGGAACATCTATCAGTGTCCTAAAGATCTTCTTTGGCCTTTTCTGACACTCCCACACTCTAGAAATAACAGCCACATGTCAAGATGAAGAAAAGCTGCAACAAGAAGAAATGGATAAGAATAAAAAAGCTTATGAAGTGCTGGATAAGGACTGGACACAACCATTAAGTAAGGACTGATAGAGGTCAGAGAGGTCCAGTACAAGTAGAAATAGATACTACAAGTGGACACAGTCCAAAATAGTCCATAATAGGAAGAGGTGATTAGACAGTATTTTGTACTGCAGGTAGGATACCTTTTGATCGTGCCCTCATATTTCTAAAACAGACAGAAAACACATTAAATACAGTCAATACTGCATATCTAAGCAGATAAAAAGCATATTTCAGTTCTTGATAGATAGATAGATATATAGATAGATCTGTTCCACACCTCCCGAAAGTCCACATCATCTGCATCCATCACTTTCTCTACTGCTCTGATTGTGTCTGATATAAACTCGATAATTTCCTCCACTCTCTCACTCCGCTCCTTTGCCTTCTTCTTCTTCGCCTCCTCTTCCTCCCTCAGTGAAGTGATCCTGGACTCCTCTTCTTCTCTGAGGAACTGATGAAGCTTCTCAAACTCCTCCTTTATCTGCCTCTCTGTCTGCTGGGCCTGGCACTGTGGAACATTTACACCAAACTGCATCTTACTGTTTGTCGTTAAGGATAATTGTGAGTTACTATCATTAATCAGCAGATTATAAATTAGAGAGGAACTGCGCTTTGAAAACTTTGTACCAGGCAGAACATCTGTAAAACTAGTGCAAAGGTTCAGTTTGTTTTTTATTTAAGTGAAAACAACTTAACACATCCTCTACATGCTACAAACCTAAATACAGCTTTTTTGTATTTATCTATAATGTTTGTGTAATATTTGTATAATATTTTTAGTGTACATATTTTAGTGTATTATTTATTTATTTTTTGCTGTGTTTAACATTTCTGGCAGAAAAAAAGGAAAATTAGCCTTAAGGTCTGCACAGACCACATTTTTGCTTTTAAGAATTTTTTGAAAACATACAATTTTGCAAATACACAGTATTTGTACAATAAATGTGCAGGAGTGAGATTTCCGTAGAGGATGTGTTTACTTAGAGAATCAACAAAAATATGGCCAAAGGTGGTAAACATGTTTGTAATCATAGTTAAATCTAGGATGAGTATCTGGTAATGTATAATATTCTTATGTAACAGTAGTGTAGGAGTTTAGCACTTGGTTGTATATTATACTGCAATACAGCAGTAGTATATGGGCATAGTAATTGTGTATTATATTGTAATAAACAGTAGCATATGGATTTAGTAACTGGTTGTTTATTATATTGTAATAAAACAGTAGTGTATGGGTTTCATATTTGGTTGTGTATTAAACTGCAATAAAACAGTAGTACATGGATTTAGTAATTGGTTGTTTATTATATTGTAATAAAACAGTAGTATATGGGTTTCATACTTGCTTGTGCATTGTACTGCAATAAAACAGTAGTATATGGGTTTCATACTTGGTTGTGTACTATACTGCAATAAAACAGTAGCATATGGATTTAGTAATTGGTTGTTTATTATATTGTAATAAAACAGTAGTATATTGGTTTCATACTTGGTTGTGTATTATACTGCAATAAAAAAGTAGTATATGGATTTAGTAATTGGTTGTTTATTACATTGTAATAAAACAGTAGTATTTGAGTGTAGTACTTGATTATGTATTATATTGCAAAAAAAGTAGTGTGTTGGGTTTAGTAGGGTTTAGTAATTAGTTGTGTATTATATTGTAATATAACAGTAGTTTACATGGCTTAGTATCTGGTTGTATACGATACTGTATAGTATATGTACACTGTATGTGTATGTGATAATGAATAAAGAATAATAGTAAATTATGGGTTTTGATACTTAACTGTGTATGATCATGTGAAGTGTATGTACATAGTATGAATATGTGATAATGTATATGTAGTATAACTGTAATGTATGGGGATTTAGAGGTTGTCTGTTTATGATATTGTAATATACCAGTAAGTAGTGTTTGGGGCTTCATACCTGGTTGTGCTCGAAGGCTGATTGACAGGTGTTGTTGATCAGCTCACATTTACATGCTCTCTTCTGTAACATATTCACTGATCTCTCCAGCTCCCCCTATGGAGCACACAGAGGAACTGCACTTTAAAGAAGGCACACACATAACTGAGACACACATAAGACACACATAACTGGTAAAGAGATATTTGGTATTTATTAAACCTTTATTATGCTGAAGTATAGAATACCTGCTGGCATACAAGTATATAATAACTGGTAAATAGATATATAACACTGGGTATATAGGTATGTCATGCCTAGTATACATTGTAACAGTCTGAATAAAAATATGATACATCTAACAAATACAAATTGTTAGCTATATATGTATATAATATATGGTTATCTTGGTCTTTTGCTACTATTAAAAAACTCAGTTAGTACTTTCTTTGGTGTTAGTCCAGTAGACAGAGTTGTGGAAGTTATTGTGGAAGTCATTGTGTGTATATATAAAAATATGTGTATGTATATATAAAAATATGTGTATGTATGAAAATAAGTACACATTCTCTCCAGAGAGCACATTTCTGCACACTTTAATGCAAAATTACTGTTTATTTGCTGAAGTTAATTGTAAAATAATATATAATAAAATGTGGCCTGTACAAATGTTATGGCACATTTTATATTGTGTGTTTTTTTTCCCAATATGTTAAAACATATGTGTTCTCTGTAGAGGATGTGTTAAATTATTTTTACACATTTTAACAAAATGTAATTTTACCCTGGGTGCACAAACTTTCGCATATGACCGCATATATATGCGTTATCCTACCTTGCAGTCGTGCACTGCCTCCTCTATGGGATAAACTCTGTGCCCATCATGTGTGTGTGATTCTCCACACACACAGCACACCGGCACCAGGTCATCCAGGCAGAAGAGGGAGAGAGTCCGATTGTGATGCCCACACAGAGAGCACTCTCCTGGGCAGGGAGACCCACTCTCTCCCCTGGCCTGGAGCTCAGCCTCCAACACTGACTCCATTCAGGATCAGATAATTGTAGGAGCACGTAAACACAGCAAAGTAGGAGAAATAGTGCCAAATGAAGGACGTGAGGTAGAAAAAGAGAAAAGCAAAGAAAGAGGAATATAGGAAAGATGAAAGAAGAGAGGAGAGTGAGGAGAAAGTAAAGAGAGAGTGAACACTGAGCTGAAATTTGAGCTGAAACTCGAAGACACGTGAGAGAGGAAGGGAATGTGGATATGTGTGTGTGCATGGGTCAGCAGAATTGTGTAAGCTGTATTTAGAAGGTAGCAGATTTGTTTTATCGCCCTCTTAATGACTTTTGCACTGTTTTATGAGAACTGCTTAGGAACATGATTTTCACTTGATGCTGTGTTTCAGAAGTCCTCTAATGAACATGTATAGTCCTGTAGCAAACAGAAGCAATGCATATTTATTAGTGTATAAGCCATATAGCATAGAAAGCATGAACTATTTCATTATTAAATGAAATAGTGGATGATATTCAATATAAATATTAAGGGTTTCATTTATGAATTCATTACCGGTCAAGACTTAATTAATTCCACTAATACCAATGCTTTTATTTAAAAGGTTAAAGGCTTCAATCAATTTTTGTGTAGAGTTTATAAATACAGTCAAAAGTTTAAAAGTTCAAAAGCAATCATATATGTGATAATTAAAAAATGTATATACTGTAATAATTCATACATATTTAAATATTACAACATATTCACCCAAACGTAGTTTAAGAAATTTTATTCAATATGTCAAGAATTATTGTGAAATTATACTGTAATTATGTGTGGTAATATCTTTTTGTAAAGTTATCTGAGGCATTCTGGATATTAATTTTATTATTACCTACTTCTTAACGCTATACAGCTTTTTCAGTTATTTTAGAATCTCCTAAAGCTCTAATATTTAAACTCATCTAAACCTGTCAAGTTGTTCAGGTGACCATATAATACCCTTTATGCACTTATCAGCAACTAGCTTGGTTTTATATGACTGAAAACTTACATACATACATACACACATCATCTAAACCGCTTATCCTTCTGGGTCGCGGTGGGGTGCCGGAACCTATCCCAGCTGTCATTGGGCGGAAGGCAGGATACACCCTGGACAGGTCGCCAGTCCATCGCAGGGCGACTGAAAACATGTGAAGCATAAAATATGTAATTAATAAATGAAGTAATGGATTAAATGGAATGATGTAAATAAGTATTTAATTCAGCAATTCATAGTATGTCATCTATTAGTTTATTTACCTGCATTGTGGAAAAACAGAGACATTTTAATCATTTTCTATCTTCTAGATTATAAATAGATCAAAGAAAGGCGAACTGAAGTGGAAAACTGATTGATTTTTGAAAGTGACATTATTATTATTAATGCATGTACAGCTCTGTGTTGTGGTTTCTGTGTTAATGTGGGAAGTACAAGGTGCAACATGCCCAGATTTAAGAGTTATTTCACACACGTGGTAATGTGTCTGGAAATAAGACTGGTCTAAAATACACAGTGAATGTGTGAGTGTGTGTGTGTGTGTGTGTGAGTGTGTGTGTGTTGAGTAGACGTTACACTATGTTCCTTGTGGTTTAAGTTACACTGGCGCTATTTAAACACTCAACCAAACAAGACTGAACACAGATGAGATGATTTACTGACATTTATTGTACGAGTGAGTTATGTCACATCTGTTTGTACAGTGTTGAATAAAAGAATTACAGCTGTACCCTTTACATAACAATTTGCTCATAGAATTCTACCTAAGAAAATGTGCACATAAAATAAAAGTCATACATGACATAAAATGTTTTTTTTTACATTTCTAACAGCTGATTGGTGTTAGAGTTGGAAATGTTCCACTCTTCTGTACTGTCATGCTTCCATGGCTAGCAGGCAGGGGTGTGGTCTAGTGGAGGAGGAGTGATCCAAAACTAAAACCAGTAGAAACAGGTCAAAGTAACAAACCAGTAGAAAATGTTGGGTTACAAACATCTGAGTTCTTAATTGAAACTTCAGCTGGCAGAATTTTCAAAAAACTACTGTTTAATGTATTGAACAATGGGTAAATCTTCTCTCTGAATATGCTAGTGAATGAATGTAATAGCTGATTGTTGTCAGAATTATAAAATCATACTTGCCCTGCAAACCAATCAAGCTGCACTGTGATTCTTTGATATCTGATGGAAGGGTTTAAAACTTTAAATGAATATTTACTGTTACAAAAATGAATCACCCACATTCCATTCTCAAACCTGTTTTGTAGTGTTTCCTTTCTCTTGATAGACTCCTTTGCTACACCTATAATCCAGTTTTCACTGTTTCCAACCTCTACTTCCCAGCTGTGTGTTCCAGAGTCAAACCCCTCCGAGCCCAGGACTAAGGGGTGAACAGAAAACTTCTCTGGGTTATTCAGAAGGTCTTGTGGCTGGCCATGGGTTACCATACTCAGGTCTTCAGACAAGGTGAGGATATTTCTTGCAGAGTTGGGGTCCAAAATCACTGGACCTTCAAATCCATGGTTTTATATTAAATAAAAACTTCAATAAAAAGACCATTAATGAATTTAGGGATAAAGATTAGTGCCTTCAAATGCTCACAGTAAGGACAGATGTCCTTCATCTTCTCCCACACTCTGTACTTCAGATTTCCCAAATGTTTTGCCACATCAATCAGAGCTCCTGAATGCAGATTTGTGTCTGACGTAGTGTACTGTGTACTGAAATGTGCACCCAAACACAGAGAAAACAATTTGAACGATGTAGCTTTTTACAAGAGATCCTATCTCAAAGCAGCTTTTCAGAGATCCAGACCTAAATACTTAATGAGGAAGGAAATACTAGCAAAAAACAAATCCTTAAGGAGGATAAATATAGAGATAAAGCCAGAATTAGAAGGCAAATACATTATCCTTTGGGAAGCAGTAGATAGTAAAGTCATAGGCAGCAGAGACAAGGACAGGATTTACAGAAATCAAAAGTCTTTTAATAATCTGGGGCACTGCTGAATATGCAGCATAGTGATTTGTATAATATAATCTATGTATAGTAATAATTGTAATAATTATTAGTAGAATATAAACACAATCTAATATAATAATTTAAATCATTTGAAATTGACCTCTTCTCTGCATTCTTCGGATTCTGAGAATAGATTAAAAACAACAGTATTATGCTTCTTAATCCATGAGCAGATGTTTCAGAAGACAACTGTTGCCAAAAACCTGCTTACCTGTAGGAAGAAAACATCTTCACTCATCAAGTAAAGGTTAATTCTATTTATCTTGCTAATGAGAGTGAACATCAGTGTGTTCAATGTGTCCATCTTCTCCTTTGTCTTCTTTTTCTTCTCCTTCTCTTCCTCCCTCAGGGCAGTGATCCTGGCCTCTTCCTCTTCTCTGAGGAACTGATGAAGCTTTTCAAACTCCTTCTCTATCTGCTGCTCTGTCTGCAGGGTCTGAGACTGGGAAAAGGAAATAAAGCCCTAATTTCTTTCCTCTGAACTGAAAACGTTGAGGTTTGTATTGAACTGCTTGAACTGAATAGTTTCAGACTTAACAGAATTGAACTGTTTGCTAAATCTTGGTGTGAGTGAGTAATTTGGTACACATACCTGGATTTTTGCAGATATTTTAAGGAACTCTGACCTTGTGGTGGAGAGCTCTGTTTCATTTTTCTTTAGTGCTTCCAACGAGGCCCGGAGTTGTTCCTGGAAATTATATTTACTTTCAAATGTAAAACAATGAAACATTACTGTTCAAAATACCTGCTATAAAGTACTGTGCAAGTAAGACCAGCCTTTATTTATTTACTTTCCAGTCAAATTATCCCTCAAGGACAAATTTTTCATTTTTCAAGAGATATTTGTGAGAAGATTAGATATAAGATAATGCATAACTTGTGTAAAGAAGGAAAAGTCAAAGGAAAAGAAACATCCTTTATTGCTGATCCTTTTGATCTTTCATTCAAAATATTAACAAAAATCTTACCTTTATTTAAAGTACAATGAAAAACTTGTCAGGAAACAACTGTTTTTCTCAAATCTATGTTTCACAATTGTTGACACCCCTCATTTAATACTTTGTGTGCAAAGATAACAGCTGTAAGAAAGACTCTCCAGGCAGATTGGAATCCATGTTACCCATTTACTCAAACACACAAAGACAGAATCAGAGCCAAAAACAGTCCAAAAGTCAAAAACCAGAAAAGTTCACAAAATAGCAGAAGCACCAAAAGGGGAGATCAAAAGTAGAGTCCAAGAGTTCAGAAAAGGGTCAAGGTAATCCAAAATCACCAACAGTCTAGAAGAAACAAGGCTTGGTATGCAGATAAACTGGCAATACTTCACAGTGGGCCAGTGTTACTGATGGTCCTTATATAGGTAGGTAAATGAGCTGCAGGTGAGAGGGGTCAGAGTGAAACTAGAAAGTACGTCAGTATTCAGGTGAGGCTGACCTCTGGTGGCGAAAGCAGGTATTACACCTGACAACAGCCCTGAGTCTTCTCCTTTAATGCTTAATAAGACTGGAGAACACATGGCTAAGGATCTGAGACCATTCCTCCATACAGAACCTCTGCAGATTCTGAGGTCCTCTTCAGCTCATCCCAATGGTTTTCAATGGGGTTTAGGTCAGGGGACTGGGGTGGCCATGGCAAAACCTTGATTCTGTGCTCAGTGAACAATTTTTGTGTTGATTTTGAGGCGTGCTTTGGATCATTGTCCTGCTGGAAGATCCAAACTATGGCCCACCTTAAGCTTCCTGGCTGAGGCAGTCAGGTTTAGATTTTATTTCTGCTGGTACTTGATGAAGTCGGTGATATTATGTATCCGAATAAATTGTCTAGGGCTCTGGTGTTTGTTGTCAAAAACCATCTATTGTGATCTGATCTAATGTTATGCACCAGGGGATCCTCGTTTATGTAATGCTGGAAGACTGAGAGTTTGTGCATCTGATGTTCCTGAGACACACACTCCACACAGACCAGCTTCTGATCATCCACACAGAAGAGATGCAATTTCTCATCATGTTGTGGACACAGCAGACCCCTAGACTGGGCTGAATTTCTGCGATTCTTCTCCTGACAGAAAGACTCACAGGCACTTTCCAGAGCTCGGTTGATGGATGGATTTTCCAGA